TATGGGTATACGTGAAGTATCGGTAGGTTTAGTGTTGAAAAGGATTCGCGAGTCTCGATAGGTGCACCATAATAGCCGCCACCGACGTACGCGTGGCCAAGTTCCGATCTTAGGGGGAATCTATTCCAAGAACGCGAATAGTTACGAACGTTTCGATCCGATATAAACTAGGGAGAGGGCCAAGGTCGCGATATCGCGAGCAAACGCAATCGTTATTACTTCGTAAGCGCGATGGCCACGGCAGATAGGACACGAACGAACGAAAGTGGGCCAGTACACGACATCCTCCCGACACGATACGCGACCGTGCGATGCAAACGAGCTACACTCGGCCCTTTTGTATCGAAGATCGACCCGTAAGATCGGAAAAAATTGAAATCTATGGCGCGTTTTCGCTGCCCGAATCGTCGAGCCTTCCGTTTCGATGTTCTTTCGTCGACCATCGCAAGGACGAACGATTGCGTCCGTGGATCTGCACGCGATTCCATCGTTTGTTCCCCCCGGGTCGGGATTAACGTTCCAAGTATGCGTGCACTCGGATCCGATAACAAATATTATGCACCTAGCGTCTCGCGTTGAGAATTAATTGATTCGAGACTGGTACACTTTTTTTCGGGAATAACGAACGTCCACGCGGCTGAATAAACTAATTTACGCGGTGTCTGTGCTCGCTGTTCGCGAAGAAAATATCCTTTGCTCTTTCTAATTCGATCCGATTCAACTTTGAGCTCGTGTACCCGAGGGTTGATTTACTCGGAGCTAATGAAAAGCGTTGGCGCGTCGGGTGTGGGAGAAGTGGTTTGTATTTTTAATTAACGGGGGCAATGGATAGATGCTCGTATTTTGTTTGAAATTTGTATCCACTTGTTTCGTACCTGCTCGAAATTATCGGCAACTCTCGGCTTCGCGCCCCGCCCCGGGGCTCGTTTAATTAAATCGAGTGGCCATCGCGAATTCGACTCGATACGCGGCAGCCAATATATATTTCCCCGTGGAAAAAAAATGTGTCACCGGCGCAACGAACTTCCGATCGACTCTTTATAGCCTTCTAGAAATCGACCGCGATCCGGGGTCGCAATTTTTCCCCCAGCCTGTTTCCAGAAAGGATCGAGAACGGTTATGAAACTCCTTCGTTGGGTAAATGAAACTTTGAAAACTTCTCTTATAAGTCACGACGAGCACGGACAAATAAAAGTTCTCGTTTTAATAAAATCTGTACGAAATAAAGATTAAACCTCTCTGGGAACAACCGGGGATATCCCATCCGTAAATAGAAAATTTACCCGTTGAATTTTCGACCAAAACGGAAGTGGTTTCTGAAATAGATTCGATCATTTAATTACCCGAGCACTGAGGCGTCGTAAAAATGATCTAATTGCGAGCAAGTAGCGCGTTCGGGCATTATGTTCGCGGGAATGCGCACCTGGACGATTGTAATGGATATTATTTCGTAGGATGCAACGAGGCCTGACGGTTAAGCTGCTCGTAACTGTATCGTGCGTGGAACAAGTATGTTACTACGCGCGTACTACCGTGTCGCGTCCAAGCTATGCTCGAGTTCGCGTTACGATGCGCGCCGCGGCGCGCCGCGGCGTCGGGATGCCCCGGCTATCGGCGAATCTACCGTTCGAGGCAAATGGCGATTTTTCCCCGTGGTTTTAATTAGACGACGGTGCCGTAAGATTAGAGGCTCGACTCTGTTCCACGGCATCTCGAGAAGCGGTAACGGTAAATCGAGCGCATACAACCACGGGACGAACAAAACGACGCGCAACGTCGATCCAACCATTTCGATTACGATCGGGCCAGGCTGCAGATGCTCTTATCGTCCCCCGAGACCCGTTCGATCCAACCGGGGCGACAAATTTCACGATCTTTTCTCCGTTTTCTCCTCCCCGGCCGCTGCGTCGGAATCTCGTCTATTTTTACGACTGGTAAAAGTCTCTCGAATTTAATGTATGGGAGAGCGGTTGCTAAGAAGCAATAAAGGTCCGGTGAAACGATTTGCAAGTATGAAAAAGAGGTCCATTCGTTTCGAGCAGCGTACTTTGCGCGGTTAAAAAATTGTTTCGCGAGCCCTGAAATATTACCATCGGTTGTGCAACTATTTGTTAAAGCGTCGGATCCTTTTTACGCGATGCCATAAAACACGCCCCCCCGTCAATTAAATATCCATACCTATTCGTCTAAATCACCGGGCAGATAAAACATCGGAAAAACTCCGAAACGCGAACGTATTTCATTACGATTACAATTTACCTGATGTTAATTGGTACAGCTGTTCCGTCGATACATCAATTTCACCTGCCCTGTCACATTTATCAAATATATTAATGCCGCGTTAATAATAGCTCAACGTTAAATTCCGCATAACTTAGGGTAGTTTAATTCTATATGCAATATTCACGGTGCTGTGTTGAATCTGCTCTTTTGTAATATTACCTCATTACATGGCTATACTCCTTCGGCGACTCTAGTATCTCTTGACACCTTTCACCCCGCGTCGTTAATCAAATTGGAATAACTCCTGATGCGCTAAGAAATCGTAAACGTGTAAAATTCGATTAGAGGAACGGTGATTATATTTCTATTTAAATAATATCGACTGCGATTACTATTTATCTACTTCGTCCGTTAACGATGCTGTTACTTCTACGCGCTACGATCGTCTCCGTTCCGAAAATTTATGCTCCCCGGTCGAACACAAGAAACCGTATTAAAATAAAGCAAATTAACACTTCGAAAATGGATAATGTTGTGTTAATCTTCGACCAGTCCGCGTTTGATTTACAGTTATTTTTCGTAACTGCGTATAATAATATAGGCGCGCGTATTTTTTGCATTACCGTAATGCCCGCAATAAGAGGGCAAGAAATCAAATAAATGAGTCGAGGAGGGTTATTGCGTAACCAATCGGGTTCTACAGACCGCCGACGGATTCTTCCTCCGTGCGCTCGGCGCAAACAAATGCCCGCCGCCTACAAGCCATCGATTAGTTGCACGATTATGGAGACGCAGGAGGTGGATCCAGGAAGAAGCCAACGGCGTCGAACGGACAGGTGCACCGTTTTCCAATCGACACCTGTCCGTTCCCCGGATCGTTCCGACGCGTTAATCTTTGCAGCACGGTTCAATTCGAGAACAATCGCACATCCATACCGCGCGTTTAATTTCACCTACCACGCGGTCGTTTCGCGATCGATCGCCAAATTACACGTGGTCCATCTCAATGAATCTTAACGCCTTCCCGTGGTATTTAACACGACGAGATCCAGGCCCAAACGATAAACAGACCAAACTGATCCTAACGCTGCTTTGTAACAGAGATTAGAAGAATCGCGACCAACTCTCGCGGCGTACCGATAGCAACTAAAACTTAAGGACGAGCCTGGCTCGCGATGTTTACGTTTGGCTCGACCTTCTGTTCTCAAGTCGTGATATGGCTCGTGATATTCATGTTTGGGCCAAAATCTTCATCGCAAAGAATCAAAGAAATATTCATCAGACTCGTTAAAGTACGAGAAGGGGTTAACCCCTTAACGCTCATATTTTTCGGGTCAACCAACAATGATCAGTTTTCTTTATTGGATTTGTATCTAAAAATACGGTTTTTGTTAATTACAATGTTGTATCTAACGTATAATTTGAAGGAAAACAAATATTATCATCCCTTAAACCGTTGGATTAAACAAATATTATTTTTCAAAGCAGTCAGACTCGGGCATGAACGTTAAGGGGTTAAGATCGTCGAAGAAAAGCGACCTTCAAGAACACAAGCCCTGACCCCAACCTTTAGCATCGAGCAAGCTATTATTTTACGTCCTTCGTGGATTTTTTCCCAGACCGCTGAAACAATGACAGCTGTGTTTAGATTTGTTTTCTACGATTCGATGCAGTTGCGTGCAGATCCGTCGATTAATGATACGTTGCTGGAGTTACGGTGTCGTGGGAAACATAGTAATTTTGATTCTTGGCTATTTTTAGACGCGATTAAACCGCAGTTTATGAATACTCATTTTCAAAATGGCTTCACCGCATTCGCGAATGAAAATTAAATACAAACATAACGAATATGTTCCGTGCACAAATTTTAGGTAAGGTACTGTTTGCTTGGTACGCTTGGGGGGGTTGTTTTATTTATTTCGAGGCAAATAAAGAACGCGAAGCTCATCTTTGGCTCGTAACGCGCTGGTGGGCTGTGACCCAGTTCTCGACGGTAGAAAATTATTGCGATATCATCGCGCGCGTCGCGGCGAATAATAAAGCACACCGAGTTCTCGATGGGTGTGGGATGTTCCATAATGTATAGACCGAGAGATGTCCTTCGAGGAGGAGGAATAAATGTCATATATATTCGTCGCTCGAAATTTTCTCGAACTCTACGAGAAACCGATTCGCCTGGGATCGTGTCGACGCGTTCCATCTCCGTTCGCGAACAAATCCACGGTTATTGCGATTCTTTCATCGACGATCGTGAATCGCGAGGGTGGAGGGAAAAATTGGGGACGAAGAATGGAAAGGTTAACGGGAAACGGCGTTTGCGAGATGATTCGTTTTAGCGTGGCTGCGGGTCGCTAAGCAACCGACCCGTGCTTTTAGCGCTTTCGACCACGAGGGAGCCTTTGTCACGAGATCAAAAAGATCCCCGGGTACCCCGTCGGGGCTAACTGACTGCTTTCGAATCGTTTCTGTGGTTCGAGGATCGCCTTTCGCCGCGAGTTAACACGCTCCCGAAACGATGGAAAATGTACCTTTGCTCGCAAACGATATCCGTTACATTTAAGTTCGCGTTCTTTTTTTTTTTAAACTGAACCGACTAGGATATGTAACTTTCTTTTTGGAGAAACGGGTCGCGGCGAAAACGAAAATTCGATCGGGTTTCCCAGCGTCGGAATCCGCTGGAAAGCATTCGAGGTATTCCATAAAGAGAACGGTGGAACGGTCCGCCGCTGCGTCATAAATAATTGATAGCGAAGAGAAAGGGGAGGGAATTTACTCACCATAATCGGAGCGCAATCTCGCCGGCCAGATACGGACGAAGACGGCAAAGCGAACGCAGCATCTGCAACGAAACAACGCATTCTGTTAACCGATAATTCACCGTTACAGCTCGCTGACAATGAAACTTCCTGACCACTCGGGTAGATCCGTTAGCAAAAACGACTCCCCGGCGCTTATTTAATGATCCCGGCGAATAAAAACAGAAAGGAAGAAAACGCGGTGAGGGGTCAGCAAACCGAACCGTTTCGCGATCTAACTCGGTGCTTCTCGATCTTCTTTCCCCCCCCTGGAATAACGTTCTTAAATATTAATCAGGATTGTTGGTTTTTCTCTTCTAAAAGAGAAAGTTTTCTTTATGTAACAAAAATCATCGACGCGTATGTTGCGTTTAGAGATACGAGTCAAGAGGGTGCAGCTGTGTCCCTTCCTTGACTTGTTTAGACAAAGTATAGGACCGATTGGGTCTGATTCTCATTCTGTATGTTTCTTTCAATGCGTAAAGACGTGCCTTCAAAGTGTTTCAAATAAAGCTTAGTAAAAGTTATATCGTTTAAATTATTTTATTTATTCCACCACCTATTTCCAATAAGGATGAACAAGATCTAACAGTTGATCGAATCGAAAGAAACGGTCAATATGGGATCGCGAAAAATCGGTGTCGTTGGCGGATCGAGAGATCGATCGGGCCACGTAGGCGCGTCTCGCCGGCTGGATAAATCATCGACGATCTGGTGAGCCTGTTTTCCAACGTAATCCGTTTACAGATCGCCGGTAAGCTGATTACCGGGACTTGGCCGCGCGCATACCGGCCGACAACTCCTCGGGAACACGCGGTAGCCGCGTTCTGCCAACTGTTAACGTACACACCTGGCAAAGTGCAAAGTTCAACTGGAAACCGTTGTCAAATATAAAGTTACCGACCTCCCCCGTGTTCTCGAGTTACGTCCCGTACGCCAAGTTTACCCGCGACTTACAAATCCTGTTCCCGGAGGAATACGTTATTCCTCTGCAATTCTTCGATCTTTGGAACGATTTGATAAACTCGAACCGATATTGTCTGGCTGGACATGCCCTTATGAAAGAGCAAGACAATCATAAAGAACAAAATTCTGTCGTTTTCAGCCCACTTTGAGCTAATATACCCAATTTGTACTCTGATCCTATTACTCCTCCGCACAGAGGACAGATTATCGAGAGCCCTCATTTTTCGGCCGAAATTGCCAGACAACCCTGCCAGGGATTAAAAAGACAAAGTGGCCCATAATAATTCTCCACCCTCGACGTCGTCACGCAACCCCTCCGTGGGGGTGTACCGCCCAATCTAGCTTTGTCCCCTTTGCATACGCGGTTACAAGATAATTCTACGAGCTACCATTGTTTCTCTCGAACGGGACGAGATATAATCCAGATGGCAATAGCGACTGCCACATTTTCTATCTCCGCCCGGAGAAAATTTCTACGGGAAAAGGTTATATCTGGGAAAAAGATACCCGGGTGTTCCGACCGTAAAGTCGAAGGAACGACGTCCGTGTCTCGACGGAGCGTTAAGAACACTTACGCTTCCCCAAGATTTTCCTTCCACCTTTGCGTTACCATGGGGACATTTCCACGAGGGAATGGCCTCCCGCGCGGCAGAGGATCTATCGAATAGGTTATTTCTTCCTCCGCGCTATCGCGGAGCACGAAACGATTACGGCCGCGAACGCAGAACGTTCTGGAATTTGAAACACCCGGCAGACTCGATCTTCATCCGCTCGAGGGGTTGAGAATCGGCGGAACCACGGACTACATTTGTCATCGACGCTAATAGAATTTTTATTCCAACGTCATCGATCTCGCGAATAATTCCGAGAATGTTAGCCGTCGTTCGAGGATTAACTAAAATTGGCCCGGGAGTACGGTTTAAATTATTTACAGCGGATCGCGAAACACCCCGTGGCGAATATCCACGGGCCGGAGAATCGAACAAACGCTATTTTCGCGAGGATCATTCTTTTTCGTAGATGCACGAGCATCTCGAACGGAGATTCGAGCATGTGGAGCGAAAAGAGCAGACGCTCGAAACGAGAACGATCGAGGGCGACGGAGCAAAGGCAACGACGTAGGCGATAAAGAATTCCATTTCCTCGGAAACTTTACAGAGAAGAGGCGTTTCCATCCGTGAGAGAACTTCCACAGATCTGAGGAGCCTCCTGTCGTCATGAATAACACACGGTCGTTGAATAACAAACGGGATCTTCCGGTTATCAAAGGGGAGGGATAACTTAACGAGCTTCTAACAAGATAAAATTCATCCCAGCACTCGATTCACAAACGATACGCCGTAACTCCGCCATCAAATTTGATACCGGGATTCAAGGCACGCTTAAAACACCCCTGATTTATTAATAACGCTAAGTAATTGTGTAAAACTTGACGAGAATACAGTAAAGTTTCGATTATCCGGAACGTTCGAATAACTTTTTCGGCAAAAAAAAATTTTTTTCAAATCGTTTTGGAAAAATTATTTTTGGTTCCCGGGGTCGATTACAATCATTTTTGGTGAACAGACATACCCCCGAATTCGTACGCGCTTTCGAGAAAAAAAAATTCTTTGCCGATGATACAATGTCTGATCATAAATGAAATTTCATGCCTGATCTCCTTTAAAAAATCATAACTTCTGAACGGATTGGACGATTTTAATTTTTCAAAATGCAAACAACGGGTATTTTAGCGAAGAATATGTAGAAATTCTAAGAATATTCGAAAAGTTACTCCTTCACCGTAAAATGAGAAGACCCCCATAAATATGGTTCAATTTTCAAACATCTACAACTCCTACAATAGTCAATGGATTTCATTGATATTTAATCTGGAAGTAGAACTAGTATTGGACAACTTTTCCGTAGGGTGTCAAGCAAACTTATTAAAGATAATGGTCAGAGATGGTTATCCTGTATGCTATTTAGGTAAATAGCTAAATTACGGGAATTACTTCGAGGGGGGATATAAACGCAAGTGGCATAGATCACGGGGACGAGCAATCCGACCATTAAAAAGTTTATGGAGGTACGTGACATCGGGCATTAATCTCCAACCACTTAGCGATGACACTTTTAAGAGTCGCAGGATAGATTCACAGTTATGATTGTCAAAGGACACTGGCCCCGTCCCATCAATTCGATAATTAAAAAGAAAGTTTTCACGAGGATCCATCCTTGGTATACCAAAAAAGGAAGGATACTCGAGAAAAAAAATTTACTCAACTTTACCGAAACACTTTACGCGAGTCCACGTTCCCAGACGCGTTCGGAATAAGTTCTAGTAAAGTTATTATTAAACGTATCGTTTTATTTTTGTGGGAACGGAGTGCTCCCTCCTCCTTGGTGGTCCATGCAACAGAAAAAGTTTCGGTATCGCGAGGGTTGGGAGTTGAATGGCCGTCGAAAAAAAGAAAGTAGGGCGTCCCAGTTCCCGCGACTATTAATTATCAGCTGAACACCGAGAAAAGATCCTAGCAGCGGTGTGTAATTCGCTCTCGATCGTCGCGAGACGGTGGCGTGACGAGCCCGGACCACCCCGATCGACTTTTTCCAGGAACGAGGCGCAGATCGTGCAGAAAATCGGGGCGCGCTTCGTGTTTTCGAAACCGTCCCCGCCTCGCGGGCTAGCTTTGTCGGGCACCCGTCCGATTCGGGGGCCCCGAGAAACTCTGGTCTGCAAAGTGGTTCCCCTCGGCTGTAAACGAGCAACAGGAACGATCGGAACAGCAGAAGCTACTTTGGCGAACTTGACGCGAACCTTAAACGCTAAGAACGGATCACGATAAACGGTAGCCCGGCATCGTGAAACGGATGGCTAGCAATTAACAGTCCGAGCAGATAGGAACATCCACGGACTGTTCTTTATAAAAGTCTATCATTATCAGAGAAGTAACGGATCCTTTTCAATTTTCAAAAATGTTAACAAAACCTATCTCGGTTTATCTCAGACCAGCTGGATCTAGCAACGTATATTTTTCCATCGGACCATTAGAGGGAGTTTTCGCCAACTATGCAAAAACCGTACCCCGTCCCCTTTCATTCTTCGGAACCCTCGAAACGTTAGTCTCGCGAATAGTTTCAATTCTTTCGGGAATACCGTCCGAACTGCTCCGTGCACCTTCCTGGAAATCCTTTGTCCGAGAAACAGGATGAGGTTTGCGCGCGAAGCATCCGGTGTCGAATTTAATACAGGTACAAAGTCGAAGGCGCTTCGGAAGCGTCGCTCCTCCGGGGAACGCGACCGCCTAACTCCTAGTTTTCGTGATTTCCGTGCTCGCGGAAACTTCCGGGGGGGTGGCGGAGGCGGGCAAACTATTCCCGCGAACCGACGGAATATAAATATTTTCGAGGGAGCAACGCACCTTTGGCCAAATAATTCGTCCGTCGAAATATTTCGAGCGGGACGATGTCTTTCGCCCGGCGAGCGAATGATTTTTGGGGGTGATAAGGTCGATGATGCGGAGGACAGAAACGGTTCTGTAATTTACAAGCGACACGCGGCCGGAGGGGTCGCCCTTTATCGGAATGGCGAGCGTTACGAGGCGTGTAAAGTGTCATAAAGCCGAAGAAAGATAAAGACGGCGAAACGAAGGACTGCACACGTCGCACTGTCGACCGATAAAAAGACAAGGATTATAGCGCGCGCATACCTAGGGCGTCGAGTTTTCATATCGCGTTGCCGCTAAATTGGATTGGATTACAACCGGTGGAATGCCTGTGAGAACGACCGTCTTTCGAAACAATTTTTATCGCGACGAAATTAGTCGAAAAAGGCGACCACGCGGTTTCGCGGAAAGCCGCCATATTTAACGAAACTGTTACGATCCGCGCCAGCCGTGTTCCTTTGTTCTACGCGACGATCAACCCGTCGACGACCGCGATAACACGATTACGTTTAAATTTTTCATATCATTTCGAATGTAACTCCGAGAGAAAACAACTCGTGGAATCATGGAAGAGTTGCACGATGCTATTTTAAGAGCGCAGTTGCATTTTACAATACCGTCCGGTTGCGTGAAACTCCCTATATATAGAA